CTGGTCACAGGTGCTGGCGAAACATTAGGAAACAAAACTTCAAGACCACGGCCACACAGCCAGGAAGACCCACACCAGCCAAATATTTTTAGTTCACCACAACAAAGTTTTTGGCCAGGAGCCAGAATTAGCTTTTACATGCATTGATGGACATAACCATGCCCAGCTGTTGGTAAAACTTCTGGTATTTTCCTTTCTTCCTTGATCCCCACCCTGCCTCAGGATTGTCCCCCGGGGTCAAAAGACTTCCGTGAGCTTCAGTGTGCTGAATTTGATCACATCCCCTTTCGGGGCAAATATTATACCTGGAAGACATACCGAGGGGGTGAGTGCAGCAAAAAAAGTGTTTTTTATGCATGAATATTATGTAAAGTTTAGCACTCAGGGAATTGAAACTGCTATTAGCATATCTAACAGCTACTGTCTGGTTTCTATCATGGTCTGAAAACAAATGATGTGTTCCCAGTAGGATTCCAAATTACCTGGTCTTGTTTCCAGTATAGACTCAATGGTTTCTGGTTTTTATATTTACATTTTGTGTAATACAAAGACCTACGCATGTGCTGTTTGTCCAGATTCCTGCTTTATGGAGCCCTTTCCCTGAAAGATTGGGGTGTGGTTTTCAATATGACCATATCAGGATTCACTTTGTGATGTGTTTTGCTGACGCTCAAGAGTGCATATTACACATCAGTAAAACAAAACACAAAACAGGCTTATATTGCTTATTGCTATTTAGAGGTGTTTTTTTTTAAGGGTTCTTTTTAATAGAGTTCTGAGGTCCAGCCTGGGAGATGGCCTGGAAGAAAACTGAATTTTTAATCTCTTATTTCACCTACAGCACTTATTGAGTCTTAATGTCTTATCAGTTAAGCAGTTTAAAGGCCAAGAGGTACCATTGTTGGGCTGTGCTTAGGGCATCAGTTGGCCTTAATCCGGCTCTGCAGGCAGCAGAGAAAATGACTTCCCTCTTCATCCTTAGATCAGCGTTTCCCAACCTTGGCAGCTAAATAGCAATAAGCAATATAAGCCAATTACTTACTTATAAATAGGGCAATAGAAAAAAGGCAAATTTTCAACATTTTTTAAAGGATTTTTAAATAACATTGCTATAAGGGAAAAATGCAAATACAAAAATGTATTAGAAACTGGTGTGGCAGTGAAAGAGTTAAGGGCACGATAGTTAGGGGGGGAAACTCTGTGGTGCCCTTTTTTCTTAGTGCCCAAAGCACATGCTTATTTTGCTTAATGGTTAATCCAAGGCAGGCTGCCAGTGCTCATGTGATATGGCCAACCAATACACAGATTTCAACTCCCAGAATTCCCCAGCCAGCAAGGTTGGCTGGGGAATTCTGGGAGTTGAAATCTGTGTATTGGTTGGCCATATCACATGAGCACTGGCAGCCTGCCTTGGATTAACCATTAAGCAAAATAAGCATGTGCTTTGGGCACTAAGAAAAAAGGGCAC